AAGCACTTTCAAGAAAGCAGTCATCCTGTTGCAATAGAGGTGAATTATATGTATGTTTTTTGTTACCTTTGTGATGATTATGTTCTTAATGATAATGCAGCTGGAGACCTGAAGTTACTACGAAGTACATTAAGTGCAATTAAAAGTCAAAATTATCACTGCACCACTCGCAGGGAAAGGGTTTTACAATCTATCGGCATAAGTGGTGATTCTTGTTTCTTACATGATGGTGCCCAATCTCTGCTTCAAAATGAAGATCAAATGTATACTGCTCTTTGGCACAGGAGAAGGATCCTAATGGGTAAAATTTTTCGAATTTGGTTTGAACAGTCACCCATTGGAAGAAAAAGGCAAGAAGAAAAATATCAGGAAAAAATAGAAAATAGAGAAGTGAAGAAAAGACGGCAAGAATTAGAGCATCGAGTTAAAGCAGAATTGGAAAGTATGCCTCCAAGAAAGAGTCTACGTTTGCAAGGTCTAGCTCTGTCCACCACAATAGAATTAGTTCCTGTTCAAGAACCACTACTAACCTCAGCATCACCAGCAAAAGATCAAGTAGTATCTACCTCAGAGGACGTAAGATATAAAAAAGCCAGTGACCCCTCAATTAAACAAAGGCCAATTGTCATTCCTGGTGTAACAGGATTAAGAAATTTGGGAAATACTTGCTATATGAATTCTGTTCTTCAAGTGTTGAGTCATTTACTTATTTTTCGACAATGTTTCTTAAAACTTGATCTGAACCAATGGCTGTCTGTGACAACGAATGATAAGACAAAATCATCTTATAAGCATCCACCAATCACAGATACAGTATATCAAGTGAATGAATGCCAAGAAAAAGATATATTCTCTGTTCACTCCAGACATCCAAGTTTATCATCCAGACTAAGTGTTGGAACATCGAAGAGTAGAAAGATGGAACTTATTCAGCCATGGAAGTCAAGTTCACAATACATTTCTCTCTGTCATGAATTGCATACTTTGTTCCAAGTCATGTGGTCTGGAAAGTGGGCCTTCGTCTCACCATTTGCTATGCTACACTCAGTGTGGAGACTAATTCCTGCTTTTCGTGGTTATGCCCAACAGGATGCTCAGGAATTTCTTTGTGAACTCTTGGATAAAATACAACATGAACTAGAGACAACTGGTACCAGGTTACCAGCTCTTATCCCCACTTCTCAAAGGAAACTTATCAAACAGGTTTTAAATGTTGTGAATAATATTTTTCATGGACAACTTCTTAGTCAGGTATGGACTTTTT